CCGGAAGGCGGGACTTGGTAGACGCTGCGAGAGCGGGGAACGGGCGTGGGGTCGAGACGGCGACGAGGAACCCTGCAGGGTTGGGCGCCTGTGGCCTAAGGCGGCGAGATTCAGAACTGATTCTTCAGTTGTTCAAGAGCCGGAGACATCTGCTGCGTAGGCGATGGGAACCAAAAAGTTAAACGCCAAACTGCCGGTGAGGGAGGAACGATTTTAAGTGAGCTCCCCCTAGAGCTTCGGTTTCGTTTCTGTTCCGCATTTGTCCCAGGAGAGGACGGGAGACAGAGACGCAACCTCGAACTCCCTGGCCCTGGCCTGAAGAGGGCAGCTCAGGGAGCTGAACACCTAAAAGCAGCAAGTTTCTGCGTGTATTGAGGTGAACTCGTTTTTCTTCTTTTTGAATATATTAATTCTTTCTAAACCACCTTTCTTGAGATAAATGAAAATGCAAGCATCTTTGACTAGATGGCGTCTGGTATTTTGCTTGTCATTAATAACTAATCATAAATGTATTCCAGTGTTTAGAGTCTTTATTCTCAGTTGTTTGGAAAAGTGTTTTTACTTCGAAAATTACATTAATTGCATGTTTTAGCCTTTTTTCTGAATGTTTTGTGTCAAGTGCAGATAATGAGGCTGTAGGAAGTTGTAGTGGAACTTGACATAAGAGCATCCATCTTGGAAGAAACGTAAGGACATCTGAGTGCCTGGCAGACGAGTCGTCTCAGGACAAGAAATGCAAGCAGTTCCATCTGAGTGCCTGGCAAACCGGTCGTCTCAGGACAAGAAGTGCAAGCAAGTCTTGTTTGTCCTGTGTTAACCTCCCAAGAGGATGTAGACAAAGTAAAAGCTGTCTTTTAAGGGGTTAGAAGGACAAAGTAAAAAAACAGTTGTTTTTGCGAGCACAGCTGGCCAAAATATTATATAACTTTAGTTATAAGATAAAATGCTAAAAACGTGCTTTTCGTCTGATGCTCTAAGCAGCTTCAGTAAATCCTGCAGGTGTGATCAGGAGGCTGCTGTTTGCCTGAGCGAGCCGCAGGCCTCTGATCCTGCCCCTCACATCTTGCCTCTCTTCATTTTGCGTCACCGAGACACTCGGGGGAATCGACGACACAGGTGGCTTTCCTTTTAACTGAAAACATTAGAAATATTTTCAGATATTTGATAAGGACGACTATGCCATTGGGCGATAGAAATAAATAGTAAAACTAGTTTTTAAAAATTTTCAAGCGGATCCCTTAAACCCTTAATCGAATTTTAACTTACACTAATTTCAATTTGAAATGTGAGTTAATAGCTCCTTTTCTGTTTCTGTGGAAGTAATGAAGGTGACGTTTTTGGAGTCTGACTGTACTGGATTACTGTTACACATGCTCCAGAGATTTCCGAAGGATTGTTTCCAATCAAGGGTAGTGGTTCTTTTTCACCAGAACTAACAGAAGGATCTCAAGCTTTAAAATTTTTTTTCCTCCTATAATTTCCCCAAGGTTTTCGTTTTTAAAACAAATTCATGAACTCATGGATTTCAACTTTAGAAGACAAATTTCTCTTGGACGAGAGAACAGAAATAGTGCTTGCTGTGTTCATGAAAGAGGACTTCCAGAACTGCTTCAGAAAGTGACAAGAACCGTGGGAGAAATAAGTTTGGAAAATGGGGGAGGATTTAGAAGGAGGTGAATGGCAGTCTTTTATTGTAATAAGTTAAAAATTTTCCACATGTATGCTTTTGATCAGCCTTTGTAAATAATATGGAATTATTAAGCTAATTCACATGTTCATTACCTCGATTGCTTTTACTGGTGGAATCGTTTGAAATGATAATTTTGAAATGTATATCACATTATCAACACTTGAATTGACAGTTCTGAAATGTATATCACATTGTCAACGTGTGCAATAGATCTTAAAAGGCATATTCCCTGTTCCGCTGAAACTTTGTATCCTTTCACCAACATTTTCCTATTCCTCACAGCCCAAACATCGGGTGATTCATCCACGTTGTTGCAAATCACAAGAGTTCCCTTCTTTTAAAGGAAAAATATATTTGGAGATAACTATCTACCTGTATGTGTCTCAAAGTAGATAGATAAATATATACATCTATTTATCTGTAGCTATCCATCTATCTTCATATAAGCATCTGTTGACACTTAGGTTGATTTTGTATCTTGCCATGTTAGTCTTCCGTCGTTGAAATGAAATATCCAAAATAATTTCCAAAGAAGAGAAGTTTGTTTTTACTCGCGGGTTTAGAGATTATAGTCTACAGTCAGCTGGGTCTGGTGGTCTGTGGATTTTGAACCCATGTTAAGTCAGCATATCATGGTGAGAGCACATAGTAGAGCAAGCTATTAATTTCATGGTGGCTGGAAAGCAGAGAAAGAGGAAGGGCCTGGGGTCCCTATATCCCCTTCAGGTGCACACCTCTGATAACTTCCTCCTGATAAATGGGCTAAAGCTCCAAAGCTTTCCACGTATCCCATGAGTGCCGTAGGCTGGGGGCCACACCTTCAGCATAAAGGTTTTGGGGGATTTGGGTTAGGGTTAGAGAGGCCTGGAATGTGTGGCAGAGTAAAGCCACTTCCCTCATGGCTGGGAAGTGTAAAAGGAGGACTTGAGTCTCACAGTCTCCTTTGGGGCAGGCCCTCAGTGACCTGAACACCTCACAACGCGCTCTACCTCTTAGGGTTTCCACTGCTTTCAGACAGGGCCAAGCTGGGATCAAGGCTTTAACTCACAGACCTTTGAGGACATTACAGAGCCCAAATCATGTTCTGCCAATTCCATGGAGACAATCAAAGGGCCAGAGGCGATGATGCATACACAGATTCGCATCACAACTGCAAATGTGCAGCTTAAGAAGCCCCAGTTTTCCAAAATGGGCTGCAATCAAAATTGCCCAGTCTGTCTCAGAGGAGGCATTATCTTTATTATATTACTTTGGCATTCCTTCCCTGGCTTGGAGATCAATGCTACTGCTAGATTCCCAAGGCTTTTTTTTTAATTAAAAATAAAGGAAATTCATTAGTCAGCTTTTCATCACCGTGTTTAAATACGCAACACAATTTAAAAGGTCTATTACATTCCCAAAACCCATGATCAATTTGCCTCATTAGTTTGGGCTCTGGCTCAAAATCCATTCTTTGCCTTTTCTAAGCAAATGTGGAAGTATGGGCTGAATTAATGTGGAGTTTTCTTCAAAGAGAGCTCCTGTGTTCATGATGATGAAGAGATTGCTCTGCAACTGAAATTCCTGGTGGGCAGAAAGCAGGAAGGCAGCAAAGCAGCAAAGCCAGGAGAAAGCAGCAGCAGCCGCCAGCCTGCCTTCCTTCTATCCACCCAAGGTATACACCCTTAGGGCATGTAGCACCCTCACCTTGGGTGGGCTCTGCTATTATTCTCACACAGAACAATGTGAAACCAATCAGTGGGTTAATTTAGCAATCACACACACACACACACACACACACACACACACACACACGCTTAATGCCCACATCGTACACAATAGATCTAGCTACCTCTGAAAAGCCTCACCTATGAACCCATAAGGCTTTGAAAATCATCTAGATACAATCCATAACACTGTAAGAGGATACAAAGTGCTTATCAGGTGTCTTAGTTATTTTTCTTGTTGCTGAGACAAAATACACGACACCCAAGAGATTTATTTGGGTTTTCAGTTTGTAGAGTTTTCAGTCCATAGTCTGGGTTCTGCAGCCACACCCAGGGTGGGCCTACCCTCAGAAGAACCATTCAGACACACCCAGAGCCATGTAATCCAGTCTGTACACTAATCCATCTATCACACCCATAACTCATAATCGCACACCCTAGATCCAGCCGCCTCTTAAAAGCCCCACCTATGAAGACATGAGGCTTTGGGGGAGATATCTAGATACAAGACATAATAGATGAAAGCACAAAGAAGGAGAATGTTGTCAGCATTTCCTTTTATGCTGGGAACAAAGCTATCATGCAGCTAATACAATCTCATATCTTGCCCTAAGTTGTGGGACATGAAACACTTATTTGGGATAGAATCATGGAAAGGTTAAATTAAATAATTATTAATTTGTGATCATATAGTTGCCTAGTAATGCCTGAATTAAATATATTATTAGCCATCTGGCAAAATTAATGGTTAAAAATCACAGATCATAAAATTGGAACTATTTGGTGTACATTGTGTACTTTATGAATTACAAAAAAAACTGTGAGATTGATATTACAAAGTTCTAAAAGCACAGAAAATATTGCAGTTGCACTTGTGACTGCCATCTCCTGTTATAATCCCAGTATTATAAAATTACCTTTTTCTCCAGGGCTGCTACCTAGGATCCGGACAGAAAAATCACAGAGAAGGTGTGATGCCACACACCCTCTGATCCTATCTACTATGTTGAGTGAGGCAAAAGATCTCATAAATTTGATCCCAGGCTGGGCAATTTAACAATGCCCTCTCTCAAAACAAAACAATTAAAATGCTTGGTGGTAAAGTACCTGCCTAATGTGTTTCAGGTCACCAGTTCCCTTCCCAGGGTGGCAAGAGAGAGAGAAAAGTAGATGAAGGTGGCGGAGAGGGTGGAAGAAAGACAGAAAGGAGAGGGGAGAGGGAGAAGGATGAGGGAAAGGGAAGAGAGGTGAGAGACAGATACACGTAACCACAATCCGCAGATCTTGAGTGTCTCCATTAAGGATGTGTTTAGTGTCTTAGCACTTTGTACTCTCTGCCTCAGAGAAAGCATTTCTACCCTGAAAATGCCATTCAGATCACCTGTTTCTGCTCTGGATTACCTGATTCACATGGATTTAACCTGGCTTTTGTT